AAGCGCGAGGCCCGTGGCATTTGCCGCATCTGACACATGGTTAATCCGGCGTTAAACGAGCAACAAGCTTCCATTTCTTTTAAACGCGACGTGTGGGGAGACAATAATAATTTCTGGTGTCGCACTGGGGTAACATATCTCAATGCTGTATTTTTGGGTTACTAGTACTTGTGGAATATAATAAGATCAATAAACAATAGTGTATCCAAAGAAAGTAATTTTACTGATTATTTTAACTGAGCATCAAAGTGAACACACATTAAAATAATTATTCTAAACTATTTGCTATAATTTGAGTTTGAGGTGGTAGAATATGTAATAAAATAACAAACCTTGTATGGATTAATGTTCATTTTACACGCACGCTATTAACAGCTGCTTAATAATTAACTTATGTATTCGTAAACATTTATACTCGATAGCATAGTCGATATGTAAAATGGTACATTATATGGATCAAACTGGAACAAAACAACAACTGAAGTTCTAATTTTGGGAAATTTAGTAGCAAATATAATCCCTAAACAGCTCATCGATTTGTATGTTATGTATCGATCAATTCGAAACTTCACCATCCCCCCCCCGGGCATACCCCGGGAATTTGACTTCAAGTCTTTTCCAGGGAGTAGGGAATTTGACGTTCTAAGTCTTCCATGTGGTGGGGCATTTGATAACGGGGTGGGGAATTTGAACCGGAAGTCTTAAAATGTTGCCCGTTTTCGCGTGCTTCCTGTATGCACAGAAAATACTTCGTATTGGCGGCAAATACAGTTTTCTCAGATTTCGAGGGAAACGGCCTCAATTTTGTGAAAAAACTGGCTCAAAGAAACGGGCATGGAAAATCTATGTGTTTCATTTGAAGGTATGTACTACATAACGTGTAAAACTGTTAAATTTCCACAAGGTATCCAAACTGTTTACGCGAATTTCGCTATCTTGTCGAAAACATTTCCGTATATTTTGTACTTTTTGTATTTACTGTTTCATAATTTTCACATGAAGGTGGGGCATTTGAACGCTTAATTTGTTGTTACAGTGGGGCATTTGAAGACATTTTTTGCACAGAGGGTGGAGAATTTGATCAGTCAAATTTCAAAAAGTTCAAATTCCCGGGGTCGGCCCGGGGGGGGGGGATGGCGAAGTTTCGAATTGATCGATACATTAGCGCTATTAAAAGTAGACAATATTGAACAGTGATCTGAAGTTATTATGCAACTGACAACAATATTATATCTCAAAATACCTGTATATGATGATATTTTACAAATATATCAGGATTTTTGGACCAATTTTAAACTTAGCAAGGCAAAAAGTCTCCATTCAAGAATATATCTTCTTCTCAAAAGGTAAAATATTTAGAATACTTGATTAAATTGTTTACTTCGACGGTATGTAAATTGACAGCGTTTGCTTGCAAGACGTCAAAAACGGACGATTTCAGCGCGCTGTCGTTTACGGCGTATTCATTTGCCCAAAGAAGTATTTACGTCAATTGAAAGCTTGTTTATTAAAGAGCCAACTAGTAGAAGCATGATCGATTTGGAGCTTTATCCCATAGTGAAAATCGGTTTTGTTAAGAGGGTATCGTAAATGAAGTAAGATAGTGTGCTCCAAAACTACGATTATTTCTATTCCTAAAAGTTACTCAGATTTCTTGGAAGTCACGTACCCGGTCCTTTGAATAACCGAAAACAAGATTTTTAGGGTTTTAGATCGATTATAAACGGTTGTCGTCGTGAAATTTGTCGGTAAAATCAGCGCATATTTTCCCGGACAAAATGGCGATTTAGGGTGGTCGTGTTAAAACGGCATTTTCTCACAGTTAAAAAAGCATTTGGCCTAAAAAAATATATGTTGCATTTTTCGATATAATAAGGTATATCTGGGCAAAATTTGAGCAAAATCGATTTTTCCGTCGTGGCCGCGAAATATCTCATATGTTCGATTTTTACTGACATTCACTCTAAATATGCATGAGGTAAATTCTAGAAATGCAGCTGATGGCAAACTAAGAATACACAAACTGTCTACTTCAACATCAACATCAAAAATGCAGGAATTAAAATAGCGTGTCCTACACACTTTGTGTTCTTGTAAAAGGCGAATGTGTCCTTGTAAATTGAAAAGTGTGTACTTGAAAATAATGGACATAAATGTTTAATATAATTTCAATTTGAGAATTTGAAATAGTTATTTGTTTAATTGTTTTAAGTATAAAATGCTTGGATTTAAAACTAGTGTAATCCAGAGTTTTATGTCTGGCTGAACAAAATTCCGGAATTCGCTGAGCTCTGAACCCGAGTACTGACTTCCGGTAATGCAATGAGCCTGCTTTAGTGCTTTGAAATTTCAGCAGGTGTCTATTTAAGAAAAAAACATTGCGAAATTTTGACATTCAACAACTTTGAGAGGTATGTGCTTTGGTTATTTAAATCTGTAAATTTGTAATGCAAATCTAAACCATCTGTTCTTTAAAATTGAATCAGTGAGGAAAGAGAATATGTATTTACACTTCAGCATGTATCTTTAATAGTTTTATCGCCAGATAGGCCGGCCACTGGCGTAAGCCTGTAAGGGTTGAATTTTTAAGATATTCGAGGACGAGGGGGATAATGGGATATGTAAAAATTCGTAGGTTTCAATCAAATCTACACCTTAACCTGGGTAATAGCACCTCGTGCATTGGTTAAGTGTGAAAAATAATTTTTCAAGAATAGAAACAGTATTTAATAACTTATTAACCGCTATTTTAAAGTTTAATCACTTTAATGGACATAGTTTGAGATTTAAATAATCTATATATAGTCCTCATTCCCCTCAAAACGACGAGATAAACAGTACTCTTTCATGTTTGTGTAGAGAAATTCTTTATCAGTACTCGTGTCGAAGTGAAGTAGTCTTTTTACATTTGTATTGCAGATTTCCAGTCTTTGGTAATGGCACAATTTCTTATTCGAAAGAAAGGAACTGAGGATAGTCAAGAAGATTTCAGTTGCTCATCGGCAAAATATAATAGTTATCTTCTAATGATTTTTCAGACGAACAGGGGTCACAAACATCTGAAGATGATAATTCTGACTTTTCTGAGGATGAGCGTGATGCACATGATGAATCACGTGCACATTCACATGCATCTAATTCAACTTGTTCAACCGATAATTCAGACTCTCTAGATAAATCTGACAAATGTGAAGCTAGTAAGAAAAGTGACGCAAATCCAATAAAAAAATCACACTGCAAGGTCCTGGTAGAACCCATGTGAGGTGTGACGTTTGTTTCAGATTCCCAAACACAGTGAAAATATTTGCACCAAATGGCAGAGTGCCTGATATTTGTTCTGAAAATGGGATTATTCCAAGAAAAACGCACATTGATAACCATCTCAGATCTGTGGTGCATAAAGAATGTGTGAAAGCTGATAAATTAGCGAGACTAAGCAGTAATGAGTTATAGGCTAGTGCACCCATTGATTCCCAATTTATTCGCGGTAATAAGGAGCTCGCTTATTATGTTGGGAATTATATTTATACTGTGTACAATGATGCAAAACGTGGAACACTTAGCGCTTTTTCATGGCCTTCAAGAGTTGTAGCTAGCAACATTGGTTCAAAATTCGACATTAACATAGAGTTCACTAACTATCAACCGAACAATCTTCATTATGTTAACCCCGTCGGTCATAAGGAATTTTTGAGCGCGATTGTATTGTCAGAAAAGGAAAAACTAGAAGATGTACTTCAGAATTCCTTGGCAGTGTCTTTACGATTTGATGGTTCTGTTGATAGAAATCAAATAGACAACGAACATGTGTTGGCCAAGACTGTAAATACAAGGGGAAGAAAATCTCTATTTCCTTGGGTTTGAAGAACCAAACGAGCGGGGCGCAGAAGGAGCACTGATGGCTATTCAGAATGCTGTTGAAAAATCAGTTAAATGGGATTCTTTGTTTCCAAACGTTTCATCGCTAGCATCCGATGGAACAAGTCTTAATTCAGGAGCACGATCGGGAATATGGGAAAGGCTCAGTCAGATGCGTCAGCTTCAGGAAAATGGAAAAGATGTACCCCTGCTTAAAATCTGGTGTGCAGTGCATCGTAGTGCCCTGGCTTGGAACTCAGTTTGCTCTTTAGTTGCTGAGGTCAACTACTTGATTAGGGATGCTGCAGCACTTGCGACATATTGCCATTCCTCTGGTGTTCGGACACGGGAACTTCATAAAGTGGCAACTGAAAACAAACTCAAGGTTCTCAGGCTTCCTCAGTATTTCGAAGTACGTTGGTCTCGAAGCATTAGGGCTATATTAATGTATCTGAAGACAAGTCCAGATGCAGATGCAAATGTTTATTTAAAGAACTGGTTGAAAAAATACAGATTGCATCTGAGCTGTTTTCTGATGGATGCTGTCATGTTATACTCAAGATTCCAAATGAAGCTTCAGAGCGACAGCGTTTTAGTTTTTAATCTTGTTAAAGAAAGAGAAAAGTTTCTTGCAAGGTTAGCCGCAGCTAAGGAGAAGCCTGTTACAGGTGGCTGGGAGGAGTTGTTTCTTTCTACAATTAAAGTAATTTTACACGAGAGTGACGAATCTGAAAACGAAGGTGACGAATCTGATAACGAGTGGGAATTTCACGGGATAAAACTGGAAACACGAACCAGAAGGCGAAGGCACAAAATAGAGAAGGGCAGAAGGTTCACTCGAGTCGGAACCTTTGAAGTTTTTGTGCCGGCACATGTTACTTCCGGATCCTGGCCGCCATGTTGAAAGCAACCAACTCTGGTCCAAAACATTATAAACTAATATGGCGAAACTTGTATTTCATAACTTTAAATGGGTATATCGTCGTTATTTTATGGTGGATATCATTGAAATTTTCAGGACGTACAAAAGAAAGGTAGATTATTCATTTTATTGTAATAAAAGCTTATTGAATGATGCTAAAATTGTCATTTTAAACGCAGCAAACTGTATGTGCTGTTTTGGCACCGATGGATATAACGCATATTTTATATGTTGTTTTTCTGAGTGTAGTTTGAAACTATTGCAACTACTATTCCACTTAAACTGAAGAAAAATGCCTCATGTCTTGTTTTTAGAACGCAGTAGGTTGATTTTTTTTAATTTTAGGCGCATATTATACTGTGAATATCCTTATAATTCGTACTACTATTCGTACTAAATTATATACCTGATCAGTGAAAGGGGATGTGATGTCTTTGTATTGGGCTTCTTTTCTTAATTAACAAAAACGTTTTTGGACTAAACTAAGTAAACTGCGCGAGTAGAATCCATTTTCACCAGAACTGGTTTATAATTTGTAACTTTGATATTAAACTTTGATTGCTGGTAACAGTAATGAGCACGATATTTGTTCACATCTGTATCAAGCAATTGATGGTGGAGCAGACTAACTTGCCAGAAGTTACAGTTCATGACCCAAAATTGCAACACACCAATCTCATGTAAATTTACTCAGCAAGCACCATCTTAATTAATGATTTCACCTGTTATCAATTACCATCGGCATTGTTAGGTTTACCATCTTAGTGAAAGAGCGAGACTAATTAAGCTCCAAAATAATAAAATATTGCACATTCAAACTGTGTAGCTCAGTCCGGAATGCATTGGTCTTGTAAACCAGGGGTTGTGGGCTGCATTCTTATTTGCCTGGTATAAATTTACTCAGTGTAGCAACATATTAGTAATTTCTCCTGTGTATGATTACCATCAATATTAGATTTAACACCAGCCTTGTATCTTACAGTTCAGTTCTTATGTACTTGGTGTAAAAGATTTTAAGCAATATAACTTGTAGGAGTTATATTGATTAATTGTTTTGGCAACACAGCATATTGTCCAGTGCACATGGTTAAAGATGCGCTACCTTCAAATATTTTCTGTTCTTCTTTTTAGTGTTGGAAAGTTCACGATTGGCAAATTTCAAGCTGTAGTAAATGCACAACCTCAAAAACAATTTTTGTATCTTTCATGATGTAGTCCAGAAAGCAATTTGTTGGAACATGAAGGCCTTCAAAATTTTTTATGTGTTTTCTGTTTGATCAAAGGCCTTAAAGAAACAAAACTGTTATCATCTAAGTCATTACATTGGATGGCATTTGTACATGTAGGACAGTTGCAGATCTTAATAGATTTATGGATCTAAACTCAAATTTATGGAACTAAATTATATGGATTTATGGAACTACAATCAAATTAAATATGGATTGATAATATGGATAAAAAATATGGATTTATGGAACTAAAATTAAATCAAAGTGTTGTTTACATTTTTGGGGTTGTACAACTTGTACATAGTAGAATACACTAGATGTTAAAGTTTCATTTACTTGGTTCCCTTTGTAAAAAACAACACTACAACTTACATGCACCAACATCCGATTTGTTGCAAGTTGAAACCAGTTTTATTGCCTGATATATTTTACTCTGCCAACAAGTCTTAATAACTAAGGGGCTATTTACATGAGCCTGACTAGTCCTGTTAACCGAGGCACCCAGCTTAATTCAAATCATTTAACAAGAATCTGCCTAGCCGAGATCTCACTTGAGTCAAAGGGGATGCCCGGATAACCGGGCTGGAATTTTCCTATGTAAAGTCACCAGCTCATGTAACCTGGCTAGCCAGGCCTTCAGCCTGGTTAACCGGGCCAGCCTACATGGCTACCCGGGCTCATGTAAACAACCCCTAAGGTGATAGCATCAATAATATACTTGGTGCTAAATGTAACATAAACTTGAGTAACAGAGAAAATTCTCATCTTCAGATTATTTTCCCTTCATTTTAGAGTAAACTGTTAATATGTATCTTAAAAACTAGAGTGTATATTAGAATCTCACATTTTATTGTCTGTTTTGTAAATGAGGTTCCTTGATAATGTCAAAGGAGGCCTTGTCAGTTGTGACTTGACACACTTGTGTTGTGACTTGACACACTTGTGATACCAAATTTGTAAAGTCACAGCTAAAGGATTTTAATAGGTTCAAGTCAATATATTATCCCTAAAATTTATTTTAGAAGAAGAAGTAGGTCTAGCAATTTCTTTCATATCGCAATATTATTTTATACGATTGCAGGCCGCCAATATGCCAAGTTGAATTACACTGTATTGAATAGTTGATCACAGATTCACTGAAGGTCCGATGAACTGGATTTATTTCCTTCATTGTTATTGCATTCACGTCCTTGATCTTTTTGTACACCATCAAATATCACCAACTTATCACTCAAAACATATTTTACGGCGATCGGACTAACCACACATAAGCTAATAACTTTATATGTTTATCA